TGGGAAGGAATTCTTCCCTGTGAGGGGGGGGAGGCCCTGGCACAGGTTGCCCAGAGAAGCTGCCCCATCCCTGGAAGTGTCCAAGGCCAGGTTGGAGCAACCTGGGCTAGTGGAAGGTGTCCCTGCCCATGGCAGGGGGATTGGAATGAGATGAGCTTTAAGTTCCCTTCCAAGCCAACCCATTCTGGGATGCCATAAGGTCCTTCAGGACAGACAGACAGCCCTGCCCAGCTCAGAGGGACAGAGCTGTGACAGTAAAGGCTCAGCCCAGCCTGGCTGTGCAGTGGCAAACGAGCTGAGATTTAATCTTCGAATCCCCAATTTGCTGCCGATTCCATCCCGTGTGACTCCCAGCAGGAGCCCTGTTAACTGGGGCTGTACAGCTGAAACCCAGCAACAGGGGTTAATTGGTCCCTTTCATCTCCCTTCCTGTGTTGCTTCTCAGCAACAGCTTTGTAGGTTTTTGCTTCTTTTTTAGCATTTCCCCCACCTCTTTATCTCCTTTTTTTTCCTTTCTGTCCTTATCCTTCTCCTGGAGACAGTCTCTTCTGCAGAGACCACTGTGCTGCAGACCAGGAACAGCTGCTCTGAGGGGGTTTGAGGAAATATTTATCTGGAGATCAGGTGGGAGTGGGAAGCAGCCAGCTCAGCATTTATCTGCTGTTGCTCCTTCTTAATTGCAAGTGGAGAGAAAAAGAGATTTTATGTTTCCAGTGATGGGAGGCTGATAACTTCTTTAATTTTACAATCTCCCTCATTCCGGTCTCGTGAGTCACATTGGGAAGGAAAAAAATTGTTGTAAAAGATCACATGAGGTGGTCACCAAACAGCTGCTTTCCTTGGGCCAGGATTCCCCCCCCCTCATTCCCAGGATAAGTGAAGCCAAAGACACAAGTTGTCCCACCAGCCCATAAGCTGTGGGTTGGGGTGAGACATCCCTGGTTTCTTTCTGGCTCCTTCCAGCTCTGGCTGGACCCTGGGTGGGAATGAGCTGTGTGTAGGAAGTCTTGCAATCCTAAAATCCCAGAATGGTTTGGGTTGGGAGGGACCTTAAAACTCATCTCATTCCACCCCCTGCCATGGGCAGGGACACCTCCCACTAGCCCAGGTTGCTTCAAACCCCGTCCAACCTGGCCTTGGACACTTCCAGGGATCCAGGGGCAGCCACAGCTTCTCTGGGCAACCTGTGCCAGGGCCTCCCCACCCTCACAGCCAACAATTCCTTCCCAATATCCCATCTAAGTCTCCTTTTTTAGTTTAAAACTATTCCCCTTTGTCCTTAAACATTAATCTATAAATTTAGAGCCAAGAAAAAATTACTGTCCAGCCTAAATATTGTATGTTCATAGCAGAAAAAGAGCTCTTTCCACTTCTACAACTTGTCTTCACATCAAACCCTTCCACCTCACACACCTCAGTCACTCCTCTGAAAGGCAAATGCAGCATTCCAAAGGTGATGCTGAACTTGGTGTGAACTCCCCAGACTTACATCACGGGCAGTGGTCAAGTTCTTGCTGTTTTCCTCTCCGAGGAATGATTTGATGCTGTGCATGATTTTATCTCTCCTCTGCTGCCGAAATTTCTTCTCCTCATCGCACAGGGCCATGCTGAACCGGAGATCTGTGGAAGAGCTGGTTTGCAGAAGAGACAGGCTTTAACAAAAGGCATAATTCCAGAAGAGAATTCAAGGTATCACCCTGGGAAACAAGTGGAAGTAGGCAGAAATTCCTTATCGAATTTAATAAGATGAAATAAATTATATTATTCACGCAATAATTATATTATTCGTGCTCAGCTGTTTCCATGGAGTGACGGATGCAAAGTACAATGGAATACTGTGTCTTTAAAATATGAATTTTACATAGAACTCATTAAAAAACAAATTAAAACAGCAAATGAATTCATCACTCATATACAATTATAAATCTACAGCACAAATCGTACTGGCAGGCCACAGGAAAAACTCAGCCCTTTTCCCCAGCTTTTTCCACACTGTGCTCTCCAACATGTACACAAGGCTGTGTAAGCACTTCAACGCTGTACCTAAATAAAGCTGCAACTTCAGCTCCCACTTCCCATTTCAGGTATGAAGGCAGGACGAACTGGCAGACACCCCAGTTGGACCAGTTAACTCCTCACTGAGCCTGTGTCACTCCAAGGGTTTGAACCCAGTCACCTCCCAGCAGAGGAGAGTGCATAAACCCCTCCTGCTCTCCACCTCACTGAACTTCCCATCCTTGTAATCATGGAATCACAGAATATCCTGAGCTGGAAAGGACCCACAAGGACCATCCAGTGCAACTCCCAGCCCTGCACGGACACCCCAACAATCCCACCCTGTCCCTCAGAGCATTGTCCAAACCCTCCTGGAGCTCTGGCAGCCTTGGGGCCGTGCCCACTGCCCTGGGGAGCCTGGGCAGTGCCAACCACCCTCTGGGGGAAGAGACTTTCCCTGAGATCCAACCTGACCCTGCCCTGGCACAGCTCCAGCCCTTCCCTGGGTCCTGTTGCTGTCACACAGAGCAGGGATCGGAGCTGCCCCTCAGGAGGAAGCTGCAGACCCCGATTTACCCCTATTTACTAAGCTAATTATTAGTCCTATTAGATTTATTATTAGCTTTACTATTTAGCAAGACAAGCTAAAAATGCTTTCTGTGCCTACTTTGACACATTAGGTACCAGGCAGCATTTGTCCAGAGCTTTATGAAAAACATACAACAGTGAAATGGATCCATTTAGGCTCAGATTTGTCAGACTTCTAAAAAGCTTAGTTAAAAAAAGTCATGGGATTAAGAAAAAGAGGGAAAAAGGCTGCCTAGAAGCAACATTCCACAAAGATATATATGACACTCTGGCTCCACAGTTTCCATGTATATCAGAATAGCAGCAGAACTTGATCAGACCCTTTAGTTTAACATATTCCAAAGCCTAAGAGCAAGTGGAACCAAGCATCTTCTGCTTATTTAATGTCAGAGATAAGAAATACTTGTAATGTTCAAAGCCTGGATGGTTTAGGGGTGGTCTCAAGGCCCACCCACAGCTGCATCTTTCCCAGTACAAAACAATCAGCAGAAATTATCCCTGGGGGATGTTTGTCAGTCTCCAGAGTCATCAGGAAAGAGGGCAATGCCTACAGTGCTCAGTGCTGCTATTTATAGTTACACATAAAAAAGGATTCTTTAAATGCCTTGCTCTCAGAAATTAGTTTTTAGACTTAAAATACATTTTTTCTGATTATGCCTCAATGTGATTTTTGATCTTTTTCACCAGGACAGGTGAAAAAAGAGGGAGAAAGACAGCTGGAGAGGGGGAAGAAAGGGAAAAATAAAGGTAGGCATCTGCTGAGCCTTACATGTGGTGAAATCCTGGCCCTAAATCTTCACCTTTGCCTTCAGCACCGTGTGGTATTAACATTTAAATAGAATTTAGGGGCAGGTCTGTAAGGAGCAGCCATATATGCTGAAAGTTCATGTGGGATGCAAAGTTCCCACAGAAGGTAAAACAGTGAGGATAAAGCTGAACCTGAGGTCTGTGGGTTTATGAGAGAAAAAGCCCTTGAGAAGGAAGGCATTTAACAGAAACCAGGGTGAGAGACTCACACAGGATGGCCTTGGGCCTGCAAACGTTTGGAAAGGTCACATCTATTATTCCAAATAATGGTGTTCAGCCAGCGACAGAATTACAATGTGAAAATAAACCTGGTTTAAAATCTCCTCACTGTTACTTGGTATTTCTATGCTAAAACAAGGAGGTTTTGCCCTCTATCTAACATGTTTTTAAGCAAATCACACCAGGCACATGTGAGATTCTTGGAGTTGTCCTGTGCAGGACCAGGAGTTAGACTTTGATGATTCTGTGGGTCCCCTCCAACTCTGGATACTCCAGGATTCTCTGAAAATTCTAATGAACAGATTAAAATAAAAAAAATTTAAAAAGTGCTGCTAATACATTTTCCACTTTTTTTAAATAGGAGATACTCACCATACTTCAAGAGACAATTCCAAAGTCATTTCTGTGACCTAAACAAAAAAGATTTAAATACAGTTACACCACTTAAGAGTTAAAAAAACACAAATACACCTGGAACATAATCTACTGCCATCAGAATATTCCTTTAAATCACTTTTTTAAAGGAAGGATATTTCCAACATACATGAATGAGTTTCTTTTCTATGGATTTTTTTGTTTTAAAGCACACAACGTGTTTCCAAAACACACCACTAGCACTGAATACAGTGGAAAATGTTGCTCAGGTGCTGACTTCCATTCATCAGATCCCATTGCCTTGGCTTTCTTCCACTGATAATCCCTGGCAGAGCTATTCATCTTTGGCCTGAAGGGATCTAATTCTCTTCACCCACTTGGGATTCTTTGTTTCTCCTGCCACTGGTTTCCCAGTTCTGAGCAAACCTCATACTCAGCCCTGTGTCTGAAACCCAGAGCTGTGAGGGCTCTGTGTTCCACATGAGCCACCAAATGCCTTTCCACAGTCAAATATGCTTTATTTATCCATCAGACACATTGCATACAAGTTTCTGAAAGATAAAATAAGTGTCACTAGATAATGATTTCACTAGCAAACCACAAGCTATGGCTTGGTCTGCTCTGCCTTTCACAGAGCACTTTAAGGCAAAAGGCTAAAAAATTATTATTGAAGCATGTTAGGCACAATCCAAGAGTAGAAGCTGCTTGAACTAAGGCAGAATGGAGAGGCATTTTCACCTCTCTGAGCAGCTTCCTACACAGGAGCCACCTCAGTGCAGCCTTGCAGTAACAGACTCAGTGCCTAATTTCACTCTTCTCCAGCTCTACATGGATGATCCTCCTTGTTTGTGGCATGTGGTCACCAGGAACAGAGCTAGAACCCCCCAGACTGAACATCTGCATGCCACTCAGAGCAGGGAAGGGTCTGGAGTGCAAAGCTCCCACATCCCAGTACCTGCCCAAGGGCCAGGAACAACCTGAAATGGGAATTGCAAATGAACAGGGAGGTGGGAGAAAGAAGAGGCAAAGGAATAACAAAGGGAGGACATGAAGGAACAGAGTGAAGAGTCATTTAGGAATCACTTCAAAGGCAGGGTAACAATTACATTATTCCCCCACCTGACATTACTAAGTTAGAAAGCACTTCAGGAACCACACCAGTGATCCAACGCTTAAAAAATATGTATGAAACAAACCCTTGGAGGGAAACATTCCAACAGGGAATATCATGCCATTTTCTATAGCTTACACAGACTGCCACAGAAATCTCAGGAATACATGTTATGCATTCATTGTCTCCATCAGGCTCAACCTGACTTCACGTTCCCTTACTATTTGTTTATAAATTTCGGAGTGTATTTGGCTTTTTTTACACTGATTTTTCCCCCTAAAACTCTCTACCAAGCTTTGCTGAACGCTGATGAGAAGTTAAAGCTGATGTGTAACGTGGGAAGGCCTTGTATTACTGGAATGAGCTTTGTAAACTGTGTCTTCAAAATGTATTCATCAGCTCTTTCTCACCACCTCACCTCATGCCTGGCAGGACCAGGGCCTGCACTCAGCCTACACCCTGCAAGTCCAAGAGTTACTGAAGCATTTAGTTAAATAAATATGCAGAAACTTCCAAAAACACAGCAATTTTAAAAAGAAAAAAGAAGAAGAGTATCAAAATTCCAACCACCCTAAGGCTAAGCCAAATTAAATGTTAAATCTTCCATATGAAACTCTCTGGTTTCCAATAAATAGGCCTTAAACCAGTTATTTGCTGTAAGCACACTTTTAAAGTTATGTCACATGGGAGAAAGCAGAGCAGTCACAAATCAAGACCTCTGATCATGTAATAAACCTCAGCCCAAGAGAAATGCAGACAGGATTCGAAAGGTGTCCCTGCCCATGGCAGTGGGTTGGAACTGGAGGAGCTTTAAGGTTCCCTCCAACCCAAACCATTCCGTGATTGTAACACATGCAGAACAAGCTCAATTCCACACAGATTTGACAACAGTTTCCAGGAGTCACTGTGCAGGCAGACAATCCCTGTTGAAGTGATTCCATCTGGTTTGCAGACGTGTTTAAGGAGAATAATCCAATTACTGCACTGCTGCGTGTTAAGCAGGGCTGTGTTACAACAAGCCACTCACAGAAAGTGAAACATGTAATAATGAAAGAATTCCTGACAGCTCTGTGAAAGCCACAGGCATCAGCAGGAGGGGCAACGCACTGACCAGCAAACCCTGAGTAACCTCTTACACTAAGGCCACAAAACTAAACTGCATCAAGTGGAGAAGGAACTGGTCTAGCAAGAGAAAGCTTCAAACTAGGCTTTTAAAGAAGATTCTCTCAGCAGGGACGCACAAAACACTGGCATTGTTTTGCTCAACTCTTCCCCCAGCAGGGCTGTAAGAAGATCAATACAGTGCCTTCAGGGTGACAGTGAATGCTTAGAAAACTTCAGACCTTTCAGCTTCAGAGCAGGGTATGCAGAGAATATCCCTCACCTGAGATGCCTCTGTGTGCCCCCAAATATTCAGCTATTTCCTGACTGAAAGGCTGCCACCCTTACCCCATGAGATATCCTAATCCCTTCTGGAATTCATGAAATAGCTGAGTATTAAGAAAAAACATACATACATGTATGTACTGAGGGAACAGAAACAGTCCTGGATCTCCTTCCATCCAGGAATGAACATCAAGAGCAGGCCAAGGGTTTTCCTTACACTCCAATAGAAACGTTCTACATCCTGGTCTACACAACAGTTCAGGTGTTCTTTGAAGAACCTCCCACCCTGTTCAGAGCTGCCCCAACAAAGGCAAAGCCATGAATGTCCCAACTTACATCATTGAAAGTCAACTGGACCTCCTTCTTTTCTCCCAGTTTCAGAGAAGAGATGGGAAATGTGGATGTGCCAAGAGTCTCGTCCATAACGTAGTTGGCATCCATCAGAGTAACCTAGAAAAGACAGCTGGGTGTTCAATTATACTTCAATAAATCCCTTTTTAATGCCATAAGAGTAAAAAAAAAAAATTATATGGAAAAGGAATGGGCTTAACCCAAGCCAGTCAATGCCCAGAGCCAACAGACACGTTCTTTAAAACAGAATAAACTCATGTCCAGTGTAGGTGGCACCTCCAAGGTACTCAACTGCAGGAGTACACCAGGACTATCTGCAAAGGGTTTTTCATCCAAGCACCTTTCTGTCAATAAATCTCCCCATCTTTCTAAGCAGGCATAATAACTTCACATTCTACATATAAAACACACAATTACTTCGAATTTCGAGTCAGTAAAACTTCCCTGTGGAGAACTTTCCATAGTTTTCAGTGTGATAGACCAAAAAACAAACTTTTCACTGAAGACAGAATCCACACATCCCGGCCTTGGATGCACAGACCAAGATTTTTAGATAGAATCCATACAGAATATGCCAAGTTGGAAGGGACCCACAAGGATCATTGAATCCAACTCCTACATCCCAGCCTTGTGTGCACAGACCAAGATTTTTACAGCACTGATTTGGCAAAGTGTGCAGCATTCCAAAAAACACAAAGCTTTTCTCTGTATCCAGCCAGATCTTCAAGTCTCTTCTCCTACTCTCCATGTCAGAGCACATACCTTCCAAAATGTGATGATCTCCAAAGATGTCTGGGGATACCACAGAACACCATCCCATGCTTTTGCTCTAATCCATGTGGATCTAGGTCTGGCAGTCTGGTTTTTTCCCCAGGGGCTGCCTTCCAAGTCCTCAAGTAAGATATTCAGAAAGCATTTCAGTCTCTATTTAAATGAGTTCTTCAGACTCCTTTGACTTACGTTTTTTTCCACTTTGTGGAATTATATCTCCTAAAATATCATATGTTTGTGGCTTGGATCATATCTTTTGCATTAAACAAAAGGAATCAAGATACAATCACTTGATGTTCCTACATCTGGGTTCAGCCTCTTCTCAGCTACAAAGAATCTTCTTCATCCTGTGCCACAAGCAACCCTTTGAAATGATGAACTGTATTTTAGGGCAGAACTTATTATTTTAATGGCATCTACATCCTGTTTCCTCATAGAACTTTACTCTGCAATCTCTGAGGAACTGTCTCTTAAAACCAGCAGGAGAAACTTCTCAGTGGGATTTTGAAGAGCTTCAGAGGGAAAACTGCACTTGGGATAGAGTTAAAGGTGTAGATTAAAATAATCCATGGAGTCACAAAGATTGTGGAGTCTCTGTTAGCTTGGGAATTCACAAAGAGGTCTTGGGTGGGGAGGTGGCTTTTCAGATTGGCATTCTGACACTGCACTCCATGCAGAATCCAAAGGGTCTTGCCCACACATCAGCAGAGCCATAATTAACCATTCTCACATGGTATCACCTGCTGTTTGCTGACCAGCAACAGCCTTCAGTTACTGTGAAGTTCCATTTCCAATTTCTACTTACAATCAATCTTGTTGTGTTTGTGACTTCAATAATTTTATCCTTTTCAAACCCTTGAACGAAATTTTGTACACAATAAATTCCAACCCTGCCAGGGAAGCTGCCTGAGGGTAAGGGAGGGGGCAGAGGATGGCCCAGGCTCTGCTCGGGGGGGCCCAGCAATGGCACAGGAGGAACGGGCAGGAACTGATGCCCAGGAAGTTCCACCTGGGCAGGAGGAAGAACTTTGCTGGGCAGTGACCCAGCACTGACCAGGCTGCCCAGGGAGGGGCTGGAGTCTTCTCCCTGGGGATGTTCCAGACCCCTCTGGACACAGTCCTGTGCCCTGTGCTCTGGGATGGCCCTGCTGGAGCAGGGAGGTGGGACCAGATGAGCCCCTGTGGGCCCTCCCAACCTGACCCATATCCTGGGATTCTGTAACTACAAGCAGAATCTGACCCAGTGTTTACACAATGCCAGTAAACCCAAGGAATTTTCTTATTTTCTATTCCTCAGTTTACCATTTTGCTCATCTTTTGAAGATCTTGAGAGCTGCTACTGACCACACCAATTATTTAGCCAGCTGTAGCTCCTGCAGATCCTCCAAAAAAGCACAAGATCTGCAAAAAGAGGGGTAAAATTCTTTGCCCCAGAGATTCTGTCAGAATCCATAAAAGTGGAATTGAAACAATTTTAGTTCCCATACTGCAACAAAAGCAGATGAACCCAACATCTTTTCTTCCTGGCTGTTTCATGAAGAAGCCAGAATCATTCCACTCCTTTCTAATTCCTGCTATCTATTTGCCTGACTTGTTCTTAGATTTCAAAGCTTTCTCAAGTTTTCTGTGGCCAATTTGTACCTCTACAACTAAAAAAATCTGGTAAGAATGCCCTCAGCTGACTGTTGCAGCTGACCCAGCTGGTGGCAGCTGTTTTGGGTGATCTGCTTCCTGCAGAGCTGTGATGGAGCCGTTGGGAATCCCCTCAGATTCCCTGTCCCTGGATGTATATGACAGTCCTTCAAGCTCCACTGAGCCAGCCATGGGATTGTGGAGCTTATCCCTCTCCCCAGAACACGAGGAGCTTGTAGGAAGCATAATTCCATTTCAGACCCAAGAGATGATGGTCACAAGGCCAAGGAAAACCTTCACAGGCTACAGCTCTGTCCCAGCTGGCCAATTTAGACTGAACTCCATGAGCTTGGCTCAGAAGACTGCACGTGTCAGGGCCATCCCATAGGAAGAACAGAGCTAACAAAGGACCAGAGACAACCTTAAATGCTTGCCATGCCCACTTATAAAACACTCAGATGTAACACTCCCCTTCTGTACACAGCCTGGAAAGGTTTAACACCCCGAGATTAAACGGTGGCTTAACCAACAAGCCTGCACATGGAGTGGTCCCCAGAACAGCACTGGGTGGGCTCCCAGCCCTTGGCTCCAGGCATGGAGGAGACAGCAGAACCACACTTGTGCTTTCTGTCTCCTCAGGGAGAAGCAAAGAATGGGCAGAGACTTGACTTTAGCCCCACCTATTCCCTGCCTGTAATAGCTGAATCAGTGCAGGAAGCAGGGAGTAAATGATGGCTGAGGTGAGGAATAGCAGGTACTATCCCTCAGGAGCAGTCCAAGAGGTGACTCACAGGCATGTTTTATGATGACTCTCAAGGCTACTCCTTGAATAATTCAATTTATACAACACTAGGGCTAAAAGAAAAAGGGGGAATCTTGAGACAACAGATGCCACACACGCACAAGCTGCTGTGTTTCACCTTTCCAGGCACTGTTCTCTTCCACCTTCCCAGCTGCAGCTCAGCCCTGGGATTTACCTCCAGGACATTCTCCAGGTTGGGGTCCAGGATGAACTCAAAGGTCTCGTTCCACACGGGGTTCACGTCGTTGTTGAAATGTTTCGTTCTCTTCCTGCAGTCGGGGGCGGTCGGGATGAACAGCTCCACGTAGGGGTCTGGAGTGTCAACTGCAGGGCAAAACACACGATCAGGGCAGGGAAAACTCAGCTTTGGGCTGTAATAGTTGTTGGTGCAATTATGTGACACCACAGATCACCTCCTGGTCTAGGACAGAGAAGTGTGCAGCTATACAAGTTACATAAATATAACAACAGGAGTGATACAATTATATTAATCTCCCAAAAAGAAACAGGAATTGGGATTTAGTAGAGGAGGAGAAAAGCCTTGCACAAACAGAATGGCACTAGGACTGAGGCAAGTTTATTGGGAACGTGCAAACAACTGCCAGGCAAGTTTTTAAAAGTTTTCATTTCTTCCTCTCTTCCTAGCCTTTAATTTCTTTGGCTTGTGCCACACAAGTAAGTATTCCACAAAACAATGAAAACAAGCAGTTTGATCCAGAGTTTTGGATCCCCTTTCACCTTTGCTGGTTTGGGAAGTGATGGAGGCAATCAATGTGCTGCAGGAGAGCTGTCCAGATGTGAAACCACTGCAGCCACCACGGCTTTGGGGAGGTCACCACAGAACCAGGACCTTCTTTACACAGGGTATTGGAACAACAACTGTGCACAACACTGACTGGAAAAGGAGATATAGCAACTACAGCTGAGCAAAATTATCAGGGGGAGAAAAGTACACATTGACAGAAGCCATCGGATGTGTCTAATAATAGTCATCCCTGAGGGCAGGGAATGCATTCCTGGCAGCCCTAAAAATCCACTTTCCAACAAGTCAAAGCTTGTAGGTTTTTTTCTCTTCAATGAGGGTTTTTTTCTGTCAAATTAGGCCAAGGCTCATGATGTCCTTCATGGAAGATTTTTCTAAAACAATGCTTGGATTTCAAATCAAACCAACTGTCTTAGGGGGGAAAAAAAACCCCACAACCAAACAACCAAAAAAAGGGCTTTCTGAAACCACTCAGGAGGTTTGGAATATGTACCCAGGCAAATTCTATTCAATTTTATCCTAATTAAACTTCTCAAGGAGTTTAATTAGCCAACTGCTGCTGGTCACACTGCTCCCTGAATAATGAACAAGCAGCTCTTTACAGCTGGGGATCAGCGTGGAGAGCCTTAATATAGCAATCCCTGTTACCTCCTATGGAATTATGACTGATCTTGTCTCCTTTTTAATGTCAGGGGAACAGGGGGATCAACAACCCCCAGTCACCTCTCCCTGGCAGATGTTACAACCTGCCAACTTCTACATTCTCTCTTTTCAACCACCACGCAAAGTTGTGCCAGAAAGGAGGGAATCCTTCTTGAAACTAAACATCCACCAAGTCAGAAGTGACAAGGTCTCATCTGCTAAGTCTGGACATCAAGCATCACTTTGGCAATAAACACACACACTTGGTTCTGCCAAGAGACTGAACTTGGCTACAAAACCTTGGGTTTTTACACAAAATCACAGTGCTGAACAGAGCTCTGGGCAAAACATCTCCATTCAGTTTTTCGTGTCATTACATGAACCACCTTATGTTATAAAAACCTAATTTTTTCTTACAAACACAATCCCCAAATGGTTTCCTCTCCATATTCAAAACCCCAAAACACATGGAAATCTCAGACCTCTGGCACAGAGATGCCATCACTAACTTCCTATCAGGCTAAACGTGAGGCAGAGAACAACTAAACTTAGAAAAGTCAGCCTTGGTAGTTCAGCATTGACAAGCCACCCCCTCACCTCCATGCCTTTATTAGCTTTTAACCCAAGGCAAAGATTTAATCATCTGCCCTTTCATGTTTCAAAGTTTATTTTGAGCTATTTTCAGTTAAGAAAATAAAAATCTATTCTTTTGTAACTTCCTTCTTCAGATGAAGAGAAAAAATACACTGGAACGCTGCATGCTGTGATTAAGATATTGCTATAAGCTATATTATATTAATCAAAACCTTAATCCTTATTATTGGATGGGGACCAAAAAGCTAGATACCAGCAACCTGGCAAGTAACATGTATTTCAAAACGTTAAAGTTGTCAAAGGCAGATTAAACAGTGTGTGCCCTTTTCCATGGATGTTTTTATTCCTGCTTGTGCACTTGCCAATTGATTTGCTAGGTAATGTTAAAAAAAAAACTTATCTGAAAATGCAAGTAAAAACAGCTTGATTACTGCTGTTATCACAGAATCCCAGACTGGTTTGGGTGGGAAGGGACCATAAAGCCCATCCAGTGCCACCCCTGCCATGGGCAGGGACACCTTCCACTAGCCCAGGTTGCTCCAAGCCCCGTCCAACCTGGCCTTGGACACTTCCAGGGATGGGGCAGCCACAGCTTCTCTGGGCAACCTGTGCCAGGGCCTCCCCACCCTCACAGCCAGGAATTCCTTCCCAATATCCCATCTAACCCTGCCCTCTGGCAGTTTGAAGCCATTCCCCCTTGTCCTGTCACTTCAGGTCTTGTCCTAAGACCCTCTCCAGCTCTCTTGGAGCCCCTTTAGATACTGCAGCATTGCTACCCATATTTTGATTTTAAAAGGAAGAATCTTTGTGGTTAATGGGTCAAAAGCTGATGTTTTGCAAGTTTAATCAAGACAAGAGAATTACCTATACCTGAGATATAGATATATCTGCACTTGATGATCTTAAAGGTCTTTTCCAACCTTAACAATTCCATGTAGAGACAACCCTATCAGGGAACTGCTCTTTTTTCCTGCTCCAGTACTTGAAATAGAACCACAGACTTAAAAGCAAAAATATGTAAGGATTTGTCCTTGTTCCTCAGGAGACTTCTGAGGACAATGAGGTTTTTGTACACTCAGCCTTGCTCCAGGCTAATCCTTACACAAGTGCTCTCCTGTGATTCCTCTGCCATGGCATCCCAATGTTAGAGCACAGGGAACCCTTGGAAGGATTTCCAATGGCCACGTGCATCCCCACAAGATGGGATAATTCCATATCCCTCTTTCCCTGGCACTTTTTGGCTGTTTACAATAAGTGCAACTGAGTGTCCTGCAGAGCTTCAGAGGGAACAGCACAGGGAAGGCTGGGACACGGGGACCAGAGGGATTCCTCAGGGACAAATCAATCTGAACTGACAATTCAATACCTCAAACCCCAACTGCACACTTAAAAATAAACCTAAGAGTTCCAGCACTGCTGCCAACCAGGGTCCTGCAATTAGCAGCTGAAAGCTGTGTGTACCCTAAAGCTAATTAACAAAACATCCAAAATCGTGTCAACTTCCAGCATCCTCCAGGGGCTGAACACACATTTCCAACAATAAAAGCAGAGCCAGGATCTACACTGCTATTTTTAAACAGCTTAGGAAATGGCTGAGAGGTAGAAAGTAAGGACTCCATGACTTTGCCTGGTTTGATTTATCTCCTGGTTAAGTAATTGCTATAGGATTTTCCCTTTAAATTACATTATGAATCACCAAGTAAAACCCACAATGGACAGTAATTAGGGTCAAACACTCTCACATTAAAAAATGAGTAATGGTTTAACAATCTGTCTGTTGAAGAAACCCGTAAAATCTTCTACACTGACTGGAAAGCATTTGATCTCATGCTATTAATTTGATGAGATGACTGTCAGCAGGCCCCTATATTAATATAATTAATATTTCAGATATACAATTCATGTTTTAGTCATTTCAATTATTTCAACAGCATAAGTCATAAAGAAACTATAGAAAGCCTGTTCGAATATAAAATACCAAGGATGAAGCCAATACCATCACACATTAAAATTTATCTTATTTGTCCATCAAAAGCCAAAAGAAAGGTTCTTCAAGTATCCCAAAGCCTGTTTTGCTGTAAAAAATTCCACACCACAAGGATTTGACTCTTTTTCCACATGAGCACGTCATAGACACCCGTGATCACACTGGATATGAAGTAAAACTATACAAACTTTAATTTCACTTAATATATGCACCACCATTAGAGAAACTTCATCTGGATCCAGATTTTTTGGTCCCGTGACCTCCAGGTATCATTTTTAAGCAATTATGGGAATATTCCAGCAAGTCCATGGCAGAACTTCCTTAAAGAACTGTGTTAGTTTGGTTGATTGGAGCATTTTGCTTTCTGGTTAACCATTATTATAATTAATAATTATAATTTTATACTGATATGGATTATTACATATATACCAGTTACCATATATATTATACAAATACCAATACATCAATTATGTGTAATATTGATGCATGTGTATATATATAAAAATGATAATAACCATTAATTTATCCACCATTAAGTGCAATCCCATTCATAAAACCTCACTAGGTCCCAAATGACCATCTTTGTCTATTTTCCACCTTTTTTTGGGGCTTCCTGCATTACAGTACAGCTTGTTTAGCACAAAATCATACTGCAGCTGAGCAGCCTGACTGAGGCCAAGCTAATATTGGGAATTGCTGGATGACCTCTCCCTCTTCCAAGGGGGAGGAAGCTAAACAACAACTGAATTGCTATTCAAATAGTGAATTTTACAGGGCTCACTGGACAAGATGCTTCACAGTGGCTTGAAAATAGGAGTTGATCTCTCTGCCACAGTCAGGTGAAAATGTAATGAATTGTAAAATCATGGGGCTTTCCCAGTTTCATGTGACTTTCCGGTTTTAAAAAAGGGAATTCTTAAAAATGGTACTTACCAATAATTGTCAAGTACCAATGATTAACATTTCCCAAAAACCACATTAACAAATCAGTGAGTTATTAGATTTGGCTTAGCCTTGTCCTGTTCCACCCCAGTGAGAGACTAACAAAGGGCCTGAAAAAGATGTCTCCAGTGTTCAGGAGAACACAGGCACCAGGAATTGGTTAACTAAAGAAAGGAATGGAAAGAAGGAATGAAAAAAGGCAGAGCCACAGGACCCCACACAGGGACCAGGAGCAGGCCCCCCCATTCTCACGGAGCAGATACCTGAGAGGCTCCAGAGGAGGGGGTGGATTATTTGCTGCCTGTGTTTCAGGTATTACAGGGACTGCCAAGCTTTAGGCTCTGGGGATTTTGCAAAGGGGATGATGCAGGGTGAGATTTCACGAGCGGAAGGTGA